ACAGTTTGGTCGCAACCAGCCAGAGTGTTTGAGGTCCATTTCTTGACTGCCTGAAAATGTGCATTTGGCTTTCAGTATGGCCGGACGCCCCTGCATCTGGCGATAATGAATGGACACACGGCCATTGCACAGATGCTCCTGGACAGAGGCGCATCTGTCGCTGCGGCTGACCGGGTGGGTCACTCCACGGCACTGTTTCGTCTTGCAGCCTTGCCCCTGGAGTGAGTTCAAAAACAACTGCGGCCAGCAGTAATGCATCAAGAAGCACAACTGCCTGATTGCTTTGCAACAGCATGTGCCCAGTTACTGCATGGTGTGCTACAGGTTGTGTTGCTGACAGCGACCCGTACGTGTGGTGGACTGTTGAAGCTGTATGTTGCATACCCCCATCCTGCTGTCCGTACTCAATGTTTGGTCGCAACCAGCCAGAGTGCTCGAGGTCCATTTCTTGACTGCCTGAAAATGTACTGCTGGCTTTCAGTATGCCTGGACGCCCCTGCATCAGGCATCAGTGAATGGACACACGGCCATTGCACAGATGCTCCTGGACAGAGGCGCATCTGTCGTTGCGGCTGACGAGGTGGGTCACTTCACGGCACTGTTTCGTCTTGCTGCCTTGCCCCTGGAGTGAGTTCAAAAACAACTGCGGCCAGCAGTAACGCATCAAGAAGCACAACTGCCTGATTGCTTCGTAACAGCATGTGCCCAGCTAGTGCATGGTGTGCTACAGGTCGTGTTGCTGACAGCGATGCATACGTGTGGTGGACTGTTGAAGCTGTATGTTGCATACCCCCATCCTGCTGACCGCACTCAATGTTTGGTCGCAACCAGCCAGAGTGTTTCAGGTCCATTTGTTGACTGCCTGAAAATGTGCATTTGGCTTTCAGGAGGGCTGGACGCCCCTGGATCTGGCGTTAATGAATGGACACACGGCCACTGCACAGATGCTCCTGGACAGAGGCGCATCTGTCGATACGGCTGACCGGGTGGGTCACTCCACGGCACGGTTTCGTCTTGCAGCCTTGCCCCTGGAGTGAGTTCAAAAACAACTGCGGCCAGCAGTAATGCATCAAAAAGCACAACTGCCTGATTGCTTTGCAACAGCATGTGCCCAGCTACTGCATGGTGTGCTACAGGTTGTGTTGCTGACAGTGACCCGTACGTGTGGTGGACTGTTGAAGTTGTATGTTGCATACCCCCATCCTGCTGTCCGTACTCAATGTTTGGTCGCAACCAGCCAGAGTGTTTCAGGTCCATTAATTGACTGCCTGAAAATGTACTTCTGGCTTTCAGTATGGCTGGACGCTCCTGCATCGTGCGTCAGTGAATGGACACACGGCCACTGCACAGATGCTCCTGGACACAGGCGCATCCGTCGCTGCGGCCGACCAGGTGGGTCACTCCACAGCACTGTTTCGTCTTGCAGCCTTGCCCCTGGAGTGAGTTCAAAAACAACTGCGGCCAGCAGTAATGCATCAAGAAGCACAACTGCCTGATTGCTTCGCAACAGCATGGGCCCAGCTACTGCATGGTGTGCTACAGGTTGTGTTGCTGACAGCGACCCATACGTGTGGTGGACTGTTGAAGCTGTATGTTGCATACCCCCATCCTGCTGACCGTACTCGATGTTTGGTCGCAACCAGCCAGAGTGTTTGAGGTCCATTTCTTGACTGCCTGAAAATGTACTTCTGGCTTTCAGGAGGGCCGGACACCCCTGCATCGGGCGTCAGTGAATGGACACACGGCCATTGCACAGATGCTCCTGGACAGAGGCGCATCTGTCGCTGCGGCCGACCGGGTGGGTCACTCCACGGCACTGTTTCGTCTTGCAGCCTTGCCCCTGGAGTGAGTTTAAAAACAACTGCGGCCAGCAGTAATGCATCAAGAAGCAGAACTGCCCGAGTGCTTTGCAACAGCATGTGCCCAGCTACTGCATGGTGTGCTACAGGTTGTGTCGCTGACAGCGACCCGTACGTGTGGTGGACTGTTGAAGTTGTATGTTGCATACCCCCATCCTGCTGACCGTACTCGATGTTTGGTGGCAACCAGCCAGAGTGTTTGAGGTCCATTTGTTGACTGCCTGAAAATGTGCTTCTGGCTTTCAGGAGGGCTGGACGCCCCTGCATCTGGCGTCAGTGAATGGACACATGGCCATTGCACTGATGCTCCTCGACAGAGGCGCATCTGTCACTGCGACTGACCGGGTGGGTCACTCCACGGCACTGTTTCGTCTTGCAGCCTTGCCCCTGGAGTGAGTTCAAAAACAACTGCGGCCAGCAGTAATGCATCAAGAAGCACAACTGCCTGATTGCTTTGCAACAGCATGTGCCCAGCTACAGCATGGTGTGCTGCAGGTTGTGTTGCTGACAGCGACCCGTACGTGTGGTGTACTGTTGAAGCTGTATGTTGCATACCCCCATCCTGCTGACCGTACTCACAGTTTGGTCGCAACCAGCCAGAGTGCTTGAGGTCCATTTTTTGACTGACTGAAAATGTACTTCTGGCTTTCAGTTTGGCCGGACGCCCCTGCATCGGGCGTCAGTGAATGGACACACGGACACTGCACAGATGCTCCTGGACAGAGGCGCATCTGTCGCTGCGGCTGACCAGGTGGGTCACTCCACGGCACTGTTTTGTCTTGCAGCCTTGCCCCTGGAGTGAGTTCAAAAACAACTGCGGCCAGCAGTAATGCATCAAGAAGCACAGCTGCCTGATTGCTTTGCAACAGCATGTGCCCACCTACTGCATGGTGTGCTACAGGTTGTGTTGCTGACAGCGACCCGTAAGTGTGGTGGACTGTTGAAGCTGTATGTTGCATACCCCCATCCTGCTGACAGTTTTCAATGTTTGGTTGCAACCAGCCAGAATGTTTCAGGTCCATTTCTTGACTGTCTGAAAATGTGCATTTGGCTTTCAGTTTGTCCGGACGCCCCTGCATCGGGCGTCAGTGAATGGACACACGGCCACTGCACAGATGCTCCTGGACAGAGGCGCATCTGTCGCTGCGGCTGACCAGGTGGGTCACTCCACAGCACTGTTTCGTCTTGCAGCCTTGCCCCTGGAGTGAGTTCAAAAACAACTGCGGACAGCAGTAATGCATCAAGAAGCACAACTGCCTGATTGCTTTGCAACAGCATGTGCCCACCTACTGCATGGTGTGCTACAGGTTGTGTTGCTGACAGCGACCCATACGTGTGGTGGACTGTTGAAGCTGTATGTTGCATACCCCCATCCTGCTGACCGTACTCAATGTTTGGTTGCAACCAGCCAGAATGTTTCAGGTCCATTTCTTGACTGTCTGAAAATGTGCATTTGGCTTTCAGGAGGGCTGGACGCCCCTGCATCTGGCGTCAGTGAATGGACACACGGCCACTGCACAGATGCTCCTGGACAGAGGCGCATCCGTCGCTGCGGCTGACCAGGTGGGTTACTCCACGGCATTGTTTCGTCTTGCAGCCTTGCCCCTGGAGTGAGTTCAAAAACAACTGCGGCCAGCAGTAATGCATCAAGAAGCACAACTGCCTGATTGCTTTGCAACAGCATGTGCCCACCTACTGCATGGTGTGCTACAGGTTGTGTTGTTGACAGCGACCCGTATGTGTGGTGGACTGTTGAAGCTGTGTGTTGCATACCCCCCTTCTGCTGACCGTACTCACAGTTTGGTCGCAACCAGCCAGAGTGTTTGAGGTCCATTTCTTGACTGCCTGAAAATGTACTTCTGGCTTTCAGTTTGGCCGGACGCCCCTGCATCGGGCGTCAGTGAATGGACACACGGCCACTGCACAGATGCTCCTGGACAGAGGCGCATCTGTCGCTGCGGCTGACCAGGTGGGTCATTCCACGGCACTGTTTCGTCTTGCAGCCTTGCCCCTGGAGTGAGTTCAAAAACAACTGAGGGCAGCAGTAATGCATCAAGAAGCACAACTGCCTGATTGCTTTGCAACAGCATGTGCCCACCTACTGCATGGTGTGCTACAGGTTGTGTTGCTGACAGCGACCCGTACGTGTGGTGGACTCTTGAAGCTGTATCTTGCATACCCCCATCCTGCTGACCGTACTCAATGTTTGGTCGCAACAAGCCAGAGTGTTTCAGGTCCATTTCTTGACTGCCTGAAAATGTGCATTTGGCTTTCAGGAGGGCTGGACGCCCCTGCATCTGGCGTCAGTGAATGGACACACGGCCACTGCACAGATGCTCCTTGACAGAGGCACATCTGTCGCTGCGGCTGACCAGGTGGGTCACTCCACGGCACTGTTTCGCCTTGCAGCCTTGCCCCTGGAGTGAGTTCAAAAACAACTGCGGCCAGCAGTAATGCATCTAGAAGCACAACTGCCTGATTGCTTTGCAACAGCATGTCCCCAGCTACTGCATGGTGTGCTGCAGGTTGTGTGACCGCGACCCGTACATGTGGTGGACTGTTGAAGGTGTATGTTGCATACCCCCCTTCTGCTGACCGTACGCAATGTTTGGTCGCAACCAGCCAGAGTGTTTGAGGTCCATTTCTTGACTGCCTGAAAATGTACTTCTGGCTTTCAGTATGGCTGGACGCCCCTGCATCGGGCGTCAGTGAATGGACACACGGCCACTGCACAGATGCTCCTGGACAGAGGCGCATCCGTCGCTGCGGCTGACCAGGTGGGTCACTCCACGGCACTGTTTCGTCTTGCAGCCTTGCCCCTGGAGTGAGTTCAAAAACAACTGCGGCCAGCAGTAATGCATCAAGAAGCACAACTGCCTGATTGCTTTGCAACAGCATGTGCCCGGCTACTGCATGGTGTGCTACAAGCTGTGTTGCTGACAGCGACCCGTACATGTGGTGGACTGTTGAAGGTGTATGTTGCATACCCCTATGCTGCTGACCGTACTCAATGTTTGGTCGCAACCAGCCAGAGTGTTTGAGGTCCTTTTCTTCACTGCCTGAAAATGTACCTCTGGCTTTCAGTTTGTCCGGACGCCCCTGCATCGGGCGTCAGTGAATGGACACACGGCCACTGCACAGATGCTCCTGGACAGAGGCGCATCTGTCGCTGCGGCTGACCAGGTGGGTCACTCAATGGCACTGTTTCGTCTTGCAGCCTTGCCCCTGGAGTGAGTTCAGAAACAACTGCGGCCAGCAGTAATGCATCAAGAAGCACAACTGCCCGAGTGCTTCGCAACAGCATGTGCCCACCTACTGCATGGTGTGCTACAGGTTGTGTTGCTGACAGCGACCCGTACGTGTGGTGGACTGTTGAAGCTGTATGTTGCATACCCCCATCCTGCTGACCGTACTCAATGTTTGGTCGCAACCAGCCAGAGTGTTTGAGGTCCTTTTCTTGACTGCTTGAAAATGTGCATGTGGCTTTCAGTATGGCTGTACGCCTCTGCATCTGGCGTCAGTGAATGGACACACGGCCACTGCACAGATGCTCCTGGACAGAGGCACATCTGTCCATGCGGCTGACCAGGTGGGTCACTCAATGGCACTGTTTCGTCTTGCAGCCTTGCCCCTGGAGTGAGTTCAGAAACAACTGCGGCCAGCAGTAATGCATCAAGAAGCAGAACTGCCTGAGTGCTTTGCAACAGCATGTGCCCACCTACTGCATGGTGTGCTACAGGTTGTGTTGCTGACAGCGACCCGTACGTGTGGTGGACTGTTGAAGCTGTATGTTGCATACCCCCATCCTGCTGACCGTACTCAATGTTTGGTCGCAACCAGCCAGAGTGTTTCAGGTCCATTTCTTGACTTCCTGAAAATGTACTTCTGGCTTTCAGTATGCCTGGACGCCCCTGCATCAGGCATCAGTGAATGGACACACGGCCACTGCACAGATGCTCCTGGACAGAGGCGCATCTGTCGCTGCGGCTGAAGAGGTGGGTCACTCCACGGCACTGTTTCGTCTTGCAGCTTTGCTCCTAGAGTGATTTCAAAAACAACTGCGGCCAGCAGTAATGCATCTAGAAGCACAACTGCCTGTTTTCTTTGCAACAGCTCCTGCCCAGCTACTGCATGGTGTGCTACAGGTTGTGTTGCTGACAGCGACCCGTACGTGTGGTGGACTGTTGAAGCTGTATGTTGCATACCTTCATCCTGCTGACCGTACTCAATGTTTGGTCGCAAACAGCCAGAGTGTTTGAGGTCCATTTCTTGACTGCCTGAAAATGTACCTCTGGTTTTCAGGATGGCCGGACGCCCCTGCATCGGGCATCAGTAAATGGACACACGGCCACTGCACAGATGCTCCTGGACAGAGGCGCATCTGTCGCTGCGGCTGACCAGGTGGGTCACTGCACGGCACTGTTTCGTCTTGCAGCCTTGCCCCTGGAGTGAGTTCAAAAACAACTGTGGCCAGCAGTAAAGCATCAAGAAGCACAACTGCCTGATTGCTTTGCAACAGCATGTGCCCAGCTACTGTATGGTGTGCTACATGTTGTGTTGCTGACAGCGACCCGTATGTGTGGTGGACTGTTGAAGCTGTATGTTGCATACCCCCATCCTGCTGACCGTACTCACTGTTTGGTGGCAACCAGCCAGAGTGTTGGAGATCCATTTGTTGACTGCCTGAAAATGTACTTCTGGCTTTCAGGATGGCCAGACGCCCCTGCATGAGGCGTCATGGAATGGACACACGGCCATTGCACAGATGCTCCTGGACAGAGGTGCATCTGTCGCTGCGGCTGACCAGGTGGGTCACTCCACGGCACTGTTTCGTCTTGCAACCTTGCCCCTGGAGTGAACTCAAAAACAACTGCGGCCAGCAGTAATGCATCAAGAAGCACAACTGCCTGAGTGCTTTGCAACAGCATGTGCCCACCTACGGCATGGTGTGCTACAGGTTGTATTGCTGACAGCGACCGGTACGTGTTGTGGACTGTTGAAGCTGTATGTTGCATACCCCCATCCTGCTGACTGTACTCAATGTTTGGTGGCAACCAGCCAGAGTGTTTGAGGTCCATTTGTTGACTGCCTGAAAATGTACTTCTGGCTTTCAGTATGGCCGGACGCCCCTGCATTGGGCGTCAGTGAATGGACACAAGGCCACTGCACAGATGCTCCTGGACAGAGGCGCATCTGCCGCTGCGGCTGACCAGGTGGGTCACTCCACGGCACTGTTTTGTCTTGCAGCCTTGCCCCTGGAGTGAGTTCAGAAACAACTGCGGCCAGCAGTAATGCATCAAGAAGCACAGCTGCCAGATTGCTTTGCAACACCATGTGCCCAGCTACTGCATGGTGTGCTACAGGTTGTGTTGCTGTCAGCGACCCGTACATGTGTTGGACTGTTGAAGCTGTATGTTGCATACCCCCATCCTGCTGACCGTACTCACTGTTTGGTGGCAACCATCCAAAGTGTTTGAGGTCCATTTCTTGACTGCCTGAAAATGTACTTCTGGCTTTCAGTTTGGCCGGACGCCCCTGCATCTGGCGTCAGTGAATGGACACACGGCCACTGCACAGATGATCCTGGACAGAGGCGCATCTGTCGCTGCGGCTGACCAGGTGGGTCACTCCACGGCACTGTTTCGTCTTGCAGCCTTGCCCCTGGAGTGAGTTCAAAAACAACTGCGGCCAGCAGTAATGCGTCAAGAAGCACAACTGCCTGATTGCTTTGCAACAGCATGTTCCCAGCTACTGCATGGTGTGCTACAGGTTGTGTTGCTGACAGCGACCCATACGTGTGGTGGACTTTTGAAGCTGTATGTTGCATACCCCCATCCTGCTGACCGTACTCAATGTTTGGTCGCAACCAGCCAGAGTGTTTGAGGTCCTTTTCTTGACTGCCTGAAAATGTACTTCTGGCTTTCAGGATGGCCGGACGCCCCTGCATCGGGCGTCAGTGAATGGACACACGGCCACTGCACAGATGCTCCTGGACAGAGGCGCATCTGTCGCTGCGGCTGAAAAGGTGGGTCATTCCATGGCGTTGTTTCGTCTTGCAGCCTTGCCCCTGGAGTGAGTTCAAAAACAACTGCGGCCAGAAGTAATATATCGAGTATATGACAGGATATGGTCTCCCATATTGTGGATATGCAGCGTTCATATCCAGTTTATGACTATTTCATGCATTTGTGTATCCAGTACTGCAAAATATTCAACCCTTCTGTATCAGAAATCTATTTTGTTACATTGTTTGCTCCACACTTTTTTTTATATTGTTGTTTGGTTTTTACGTTTCTCTGCCAAGAAAGGCCCAGGATTTTGGTAATATTTATATAATGTTGTCCACGAAATAGGCCAGGCGTTCCGTTACTATGCGGAAGGGTTGAGTATTTTAAAGTATATGGCACCCATATTATAATCGATAACCAGGATATGGGGTTCCCCATATCCCACTCATATCCAAAATATGAGATTTTGGCCGACTGGTGGATTGATCTGTTGTAGTTGGACAAAATTGTCGAGCTTGGACAACACCCCATAGGGAAATCTACCAATGCATCAGTAAATGGCCCATTTCCTCGATATCGAATATTTTGATTTGCTCTCAACATTGTGATTGTTGGGTTATGCAACTGGCCACATGTGGTGAATCACGGCCACAAACCAGTTCCCTAGAAAAATTCCAATCCAGAGTGCAAGGCACAATGCTCCCAATGACATTTTGCAACCAATGCAGAATACTATCAGCAACACAGTCACAGTATGCCTCTGCAGCCCAGTGGTGGGTGTAACCATCAGGGCCTCAAGACACCAATGCCTTCCTCTCTCAAGTTTCACATCTGTGCATCTTTTCCTCTGCGGCTTCCACAAAACAACCACGTTTCCTTTCAATGCTGCTGCCCTCCCGAGCCAGGCCAGCGATTGGGCCTTGTACCTAAGCACCAATGATGCCACAACTCCCCAGACCTTTGGAGTCTAGTGAACAAGTTGCTCACTACTTCAACCATGGATCTGGCGACCATTCTGACACTATGCTGGAATGTCAAAGAGATGTTGACCCACGGCAAGGCACAAATGCTCTCCCAGCTGCTTTCCACGACGATTTTATAAACCCACTTGTTGTTGCTTCACTGCGACACCCTCTCCAGCCCCGTTGTCTTCTCTGGAGGTCAACAAGATCTCATCAGGGAAGTTAGCGATCCCTTGCCTTCCAAGAGCTTCACAACACCTTCTCTTGTTCATTTGAGATGCCAATGCCTTCTTCGATGCCAATAACACCAGAAGCCTTTTAAACGACTTTCAATCACAAAGACTTTTCCTTTCACGACACTCGCCTGTCACACGCCATGTTCGCCCAGGCTGCTGGACCACTTCACTCGCTCCATTGATAGGGTTGACTTGACCATAGCTGAATCCCTGGCTGGTCTACCTGCAGCGAAGATTTCTTGTACTCGGATTACATAGTGCTCACGAACAACTGCAAACTGCCAAGGGCCCCCCACAAGACCATGCTTAGGCTGCGTTTGAATGGGTGCACAGCGCCTTGTTATAGCCTAGGAGGACGGAGTGGGTGACATGTGCTGGAGAAACCTTGCCTAAGTTGTGGCCCTCTTGGGCACTTGGGGGAGGGCTTGGATGGCGATTTGTGTGACTGGCTATGTTGGCAATGTGCATTTTTACTGTCCATTGTACACAGGGTGTTTGCGTTATGATTTATGAAATACCACAACATGCTGCAATGTTGCAGTATGTGGTGTAATTGACGACTCTAATTTGGCCTGGCTTGATACACAATACGACTGATATGGCAACACAGCTGTCCAGACAACAGCCATTTGCTTTGGCACTGATACACACTGGCTGAGGACAGACAGCCTGAATGATGCAAGTCTGCTCCCGTTCTGATTGTCGTGGGCAACTTGCAGCATGGTTGCACAGCCCTTTCAAGCGCGTCGTTGAATGGCCACAACACCACGGTGGAGTTGCTGCTGAGCCGCGGTGCACAAGTGGACAGTGTTGACAAGGTGAGTTTCCCATATAGGTTGCTGGGCCTGCAGTGTCCAGCTCAGGCTGGAACATGGGTGCTCAGAAGCAGGCACATAGTGCTTGCGGCCGTTTTTCTTGAACAACTTTAATTGCTGAGTTCAACACAGATTTTTCTGCTTGTAAGTGCTAACTAGTGCTGCCTAGGACCCATTTGTCTGCCATTCTTTGCACCTGGTTCCCTGAGAAGCGAATGGCAATATGTTGAATCTGCATGAATTTCCAACCAATCGGGATTACCGTTTTTTGCGAACAGAAGCTAATTTCACCTTAAAGACGCAAAGTCTGTGCCAGCTGCACATATCGATCTTCTGATGTGTGACAAACTGTACAGGTCGGTGACACACCCCTGTCAGAGGCAATCGTTAATGGGCACCCAAGCACTGTGGAGCTGTTGCTGAAGCGTGGTGCCAACACGGACATACAAAACAAGGTGTGATTGTCTCTTGCTATGGTATTATGAGCCTGACACAGTGCTTAATATCCACTCCAGTGAGGGAATTCCGCATTCAAATGATAATGCGCACATGGGCACATGGGCTGTGTTCATCGAACCTCCACTGAATGATACCAGTGGCAAACTGAATGCAAGTGCTTTGGTGTGGCTTGCTGATGAGTCGATTGCATTATTGGCCTCCTCCTATGTGTTGATTCCTCTCCTGGTGTGGCATTTCTTTGCACCTCCTATTTGGATAGACTACCCTTCTGCACCCTCACCATCAAATATTTTGACATACACACTGAGGCTGTTGCCATCCAATCGGTGCCTCCCACATGCATGAGAAACCTGCACTTTCGGCTGGACTGACAATTGGTCAGCTGTGCGAATCTGACGAGCTGGTGTTGATCCACTCGTCAACTTCTTTTGATATCTGTGACAAGTTCTAGGCGTTTTGCATGTTGCAAAGCATTGCCAATGGTTTGATGTGCTGGATGTACAGGTGGGAGAAACGCCCCTTTTTGGTATTTGGCAGAAGACGTGGCACCAGAAGACTGACGAGCAAACTGCTGCAGAAATAGTGAATATCTTGTTCGACCATGGTGCAGCCATGGATGTGCCAAACAAGGTAAGCAAATTGCACAGTACTGTGCATTGTGTTGCAAGCTGCAAACATGGCACCAAGTGAGATGTTGAGAAGCATTTGCCACTGCGTTTAATTGACAGAACCTCTTCCCACGCTATGTAATGCTCATAATGCAGTTGCGAACAACTAGAGTTGCAAAAGCTGTTGGCGCCATGCTGTCATGCTGGATAACCTGTTCCGAGTCCATGGCTGTTGGGTAAACATGCAATGGATGCTCTTTGTCACAGTCAAAATACACACCTAGCCATCGGCGCAATAGGCAGCTGTTGCCTTTTGGACCAGTCCCCAGGGCCGTCTGGTTTGTCAAGAACTGAACATAAGCAAGGGAGGCAAAGGGGAGTAGCTGGAATGCACATTGCTGACAAGCCACACAAACCAAAGGGATTCGGTGCCCATGACATTCGCAAGAAAATGCACGATGGGGATGTTGGGTCTTTGTGCATTGTGTGTCTTTGTTGCTGTGCCTTTGCATCCAAAGAGCGCCCATGTGTGGTGGCTGTCAAGGCAGCTTATGAACACGCCATGACGGTGTGCGTTGATTTGCAGAATGGCATGACTCCGCTGATGGCGGCGGCAAGGGATGGCCACACAGCAGCTGCAGAACTGCTGCTGAGCAAAGGGGCTTCGGTGACGTCGACCGACAAGGTGACTGGGAGGAACTGCAACATGCTTTGTGCTCCAGATGTGTGGGAAAACTTTCGGATGCTGTGGATCTTGGGGTTTCCATCCCCAAGAGGGTGCCGATCTGTGTTTGGCTCTTTGTTGTTGGGCATCTGATTTCAATTGAGCGAGCAAGTACACAATCACTTGCATTCGGACGCTCAACACCACAAAGTCATTCTATACAGTCCGAATGTTTTTGGCACATTGCAGAGCCCAGGCCAATGGGCGCAAGCACCCCAGCCAACCCACCCCATTTTGGCATCTGGAGCACGCAGATGTAAAACACAAAACCGTCGCTTGACACTCCATCGTCAGCTTGACCTGTTCGCTGCACAGCCCTCACACTTGCTTGATGGGCGTTCGTTGTGCTCAGGACGGAAGATCAGCGGCACAATATGCCAGCGCCGAGGGTCATCATGAACTGGCAAAGAAGCTGGGCGGCGCTGAATGAAGCAGAGGCCTGCTGGACTGATCACAATGTGCAAAGCATAGATATGCTGGAATGGAAGCTGCAGCCGTTGGTGGTGCAGTGAGGGTGTTTGGCTGGTGGAACAAGAATTGCCTTGCAATGGTCCCAGTAGCGAATCTTGAACGTTGCTTCATTGAAAGATATCAGTTTGGCGCGCTCCTCATGCTCTGGAGGGCGATCCTTGCTGATGGGCCTGTACCATAATCATCACCGCTCATTCTGGTACCGCTTCCGGCCGTCTGCGCACTGGACACTCCAGTCGAACGTATGACCGTGATGCTCCATTTGTTGAACATCATTGTGCAGAGCAATCCTGTACAGCAACTTGATGAGAGAATTGGCCGGTAGAGTTTCAGTGTCCACACCGCGCATTGGATATGGTGTGGTGGTCACACGAATGGCAGGCGCATTTTCAACGGCACCAGGTCCGCTGCAGGAAGATTAGCGCTTGAGATGGAGCGTGCCAGCGTGACATGCAACTGCAGCTCGCAAACCAACTCGCCGTCGCCTCGCGTGCCACGCACAGGGCCCCCGTTCTTGAGTGTTGCACCGTGGTTGGTAGCCATACCTTGGCATGGAGCTGAGCGTGCACGATCACCCACTGGCGCTTTAGCCATCCCAGATCGTTGCTGACTTGTCGGGGCCCCCTCTGATGTGCTGGCAAAAGTGATGCGATCACCTCCAACAACAGTTTCTCTTTTACTGTGATGCTCCCTTGCATGCATGGTGTGGAATTTGCGAATGGGTGAGCAACCGCCAGGGCAT